TGGATTGGACCAAGATTTTTGTTTTACTAATCCAATTAAACTACATTTTATCATCTACAAGATTAGTTATTTTATTTTACTATTACTATTACTATTACTATTATGGTATTAATTAAATATTTAGGGTGCCACATTTCTTTCCTCCTAAATAGAAGTTTGTCCTCAAACTTGATGTACCTTGGTTTTCGAAGAGGTGCGGGTATTTGACTCTCATTTGAGTTTCAGTTTCCCACGTAGCTTCTTCGACACGATGGTTTCTTTACAAGACTTTCACAAGAGGTACAATCTTGTTTTATTTTACTATTACTACCACTATTACATAGGGGTGCAACTTGGGCGGGCTCAACCTAAGCAACCCGAGCCCAGCCTGAACTTTTTTTAGGGCTTGGACAAAATATTTTCAAATTCGATACAGGCTTGGACAAAAATTTAGAAACTCGAATTAAATTTGGGCGGGCTTGGGCAAACACATCAAACAACCTGAGCAACCCGAAACTCGAATTATACATATATAAATATATAAAAATATTAAGTATACATATAAATTATTAGTCATTACATGATATTAAAGTAATTTAGATTATTATATCATATTGAATAAATATTATATATACAAATAACATAAAAAATTATTATTATCTTCACTTTCTCTCTTACATTATATAAATTATTTGTTTTGATGGTATTAATGATTTTCTATATAAAAAAAATGTAAATAGATTGAAATTTTAGTAATTTAATAATGTAGATGCCAAAAAAAAAAATGAAATTCATTTACAATTCAGGCAACTTGGGTTTAAATCGGGTTGGGCTTGGGCAGACAATCTCAGGTTACAATTCAGGTTTGGACAGGCTTGGTAGGTCTCAGCGCAACTTGGGTTGGGCTTAGACAACTTTCCAACCCGACTAAACCCACCCGAGTTGCACCTCTACTATTATGGTATTAATTAAATATTTAGGGTGTCACAGCTTTCATCGTAAAGGAGTGGGCATGCTGAATGATCTAGAAAGAAAGACACAAACAAGTTAGAATTGCTTAAGTAAATGCAGAAAATCGAAATGAAAATTTGCAAGTGTTGAAGATTTACCAGGACAGAATGCTACATCATCAGTGCAAAGTTTTCATATTCAGTGATTTTGGCCTTATGATTCAGATTGATTGGCAGGAGCACGACAGTGGAGAGGGTGGCGCCGACCTCGACACTGTCAATGGCACTTTCGCCAGCTTTCATCGATCGATCCCCAACCATAATGGCAGGAGTCTAGGGCTCATCGGCTTTGAAAAAACCTGGGTTCGCTGCACCTTCAGACCTTGGCTTCTTCGACCAAGTAATGTTAGAAGGCTCAGCCTCGGCAGGTCTCTTCTCAAGGTTCTCAGCCTTGACCAATTTCGAAATCGGCACTATGTCCTCTGAGTCTGTTGGGATTTGGGTTACTGTGGCCTTTGCCTTGTCTCTCTTAACTGTTTTTGGTTTTGGGTTGGGTTGGGATTGAGATGAAGAAGAAGATTAAACTATGACGACTCTTGAAAAGTCGGCCAAGAGGTCTTCAACGAAGGCTTTACTGTGACCCATGTCGTCGGTAGTCGCAGCGACGGTAACTTTAGTGCCGAAATAGATTGCAGGAAGAGCAATTGGAGGATTGACAGGATCATAAGCCAACATCTCAGCTTCTCAGCATTTGCGGCTCCGAGTTCTACCGGCTGGTACGTTTGGTGGAGCACGACGTTGGCGTCGGCGCTGAGATGTTAGGATAAGTTGGGGGGTAGAAATGGATGGCTACTCTACTGGATCTGAAGAAGAGGCCTAGTCTGGCCTTGGTGATGAAGTGACTGGTAGAGTTGTGGCAGATGGATGAGTCTTGCTTTGGCGGTGAACGTTGGGCAGAGCAGACTTGTAGGTGGGAATGTAATTCACTAGGAGGAGGGCTTTGCGTTTTTTGAGGGAAAGATCCAAGAGCTTCTTGAGACCTAGGCTTGGGAAGAATGTTTGGCCAAAGTTCTTTGTGGCTGAGGAAGGATTACAAGAAAGAGCAACAAACATTAGTGTAGAGAGATGAATTGGCAAGCCTTAATAAAGGTAAGTTATGGGATGACTCAGTTCTTACCCTCATTCTCTCTAAATACTAATTGGCGCAGAGGAAAGAGATGAAGATTGTCATCAGACGTGAACTCCCAATTGCCCGAGATAATCAAGTAGTCACCTTCAACACCCTTGTTGAAGTCTGAGAGGTCAACTATAAGTTTGTAGACAGTAGATCTAGGCTTGAGGTAATATGTGTAGCCTTTTTTAGACGTAAGGCCACACATGGTGTAACAGAATTGGATGTCGGCTAATGTGATCCTAGCTTTTTCTCAGCGTGCCAATTCGATTATGCCATTGATAACCCTATATGAGTTGATGGCTAGCTGCATAGGGTTAAGCTTGCAGTAATTAAGAATTTTCCTAAAAAGGACATCTAAGGGAAGCCGACGTCCACATTCAATAAAAGCAACAACAAAGAAAGACATGGAGTTCGTATCTAGCATGATAGAGTCCTCCTTGCCAGCCAACCTGATCTGGACATTGTCTGGAATGGAGAACTCCTGCCTGAAGTATTCTAGTTTGGCCGGGGTCTCTACTCTCTACCCAATCATACCCATTACCTCGGCAATAAGGGCTTGAATAACAAATTTTTGGTAAAGAAGTTTGGTAAATATTTGAGAACCTCGACTAAACCCTAGAGTGCACTGGGGTGAGGGTTCTTTGAAAATCAAAGGGGAGGATTTTTTCAGTTTTCCTAAATTGTAAGGATTCTTAAATCCAAGCCCAAACCTAGAAATTTATGCAAATGAACAATATTCGGAGGCAAAAATCTAGAAAAAACACCAAGAAGACAGGAAAAAGAGCATGATTCAGGGACCGAAAAACAACAACATATAGTGATAAGAAGAAACAATCCAAGAGCTTGGAAAATTACAAATCCAGAAAACACTAAATGAGTGTATAAAAGGAAAATGTGCAAGAATCGCAAGTAAACACAATTGACATTCCAGTGATGAACTTCGAAGCACAACACAATTTAAGAACGAGAAAATGATGACCAAAACAAGAAAATAGAAACGGAGTACAACAATGAAAATAGATTCAATGGCAATGGATGCATAATAGACATATGCCAAATTCGTGAAATAGAATAATCGACGACTGGAATGGAAAGAAATTATGAACTCACCGATTGGGATCGAGATTGAGAGCACCGATGCGAGGTTCACCAGAGTCAGACGATAATGACGAGTACAGCAAGACAGAAAGCGCTTCGCCGGCGCTACCGACTGGATTAGTTGTAGAGCTTGAGAGCTTGAAAATGGCGGTTCAAAGAGGAAAAATTTAGTGAGAGAAAATTTGAGGACACAGAGGGAAGTGCGAAAATGAAAAGTGAAAAGACGGAGAAAGAAGGGAAGAGTTTTGTTAAAAACATGAAAAAACGGAAAAATATAATGAATTTGCCTTGGATGACGTGCTTGTCAGCCGGCGTGGACAGAAATGATCACCTTGATAGCGCGTATTAGGTACTAATCAATGAGGAAATGACACATATATGAAACGGTTAGAAAGGCGGTGCGTGACAACTCATACGCAGTTGGGAACCCTTGAAATTCTTGAAGTAATGAGGCCATAACCTCGGCTAGAGGAACAGTGTCAGTTGAGATGCTCAAGGAACTTGGCTCTTGGTTCTTGGTTATTGGTTCTTGGTCCTTAATAAAATGGGCAGCAGAGTCTTGGTCACTTGAAACCGACGAGTCATAATCTTGGTCATAGAGATGAATGGATTATCAGCCGACATGCTATATGGACAAACGATGTAGGTTTCATTACCTCAGGTAGTCAAGGTAATAGAACTTATGGGGCAATTGGAGGGACGTATTTTGTGAATGACAACACGTGACTAAGGTGACGCTGAAGTGTCAGTTGAGGTGTCACGTGGCTTGGTCATGCGCTGAGATGATTTTGGCTAGGTCGATGTTGTCTTTGGAGATACCGGAATTTGAGATAAGCAGATAAGGGATAAGAGTCCTAGAACAGATAAGGATCTCAGTTTGGATAAAGATAAGGCTTAAGAAGAGTTTATCTTTATCTAGATGAGGGCCCAAGATGAGTATTGAGTCTGAGTCCATTGAAGTGAGGCTTCTAATAGGATCATGTCACTACCGGTTATAAAAGCAAGGCACCCTTGTGGGTCCGAGGTAGGTTTTTTCTTGTGAAATTAAGCACAATTTGTTATCTTTGAGAGATATTAATTATTAAGATGATCGTTGGAGTGCCCCTAGGTGGACGAACCACCGCTGAATTCTCATATTCTTGTGCAAGTTGTTGGGCTTAATCTATTCTGCCAGTACTTTCCAGCCGAGTTCCCTGTTTGATTATGTGGTCAGAAATCAATACCCGCATTCCATTTGATGAATTGGTCATCATTTTGGAACTACCCAAGGCATCCACTCCATTAAATAAATTATCATATTTGTTTGTTACTCCTACGATTTATTTATTATTTAATGTAACACATTTACAATAATTAAATATTAGCGTAAATTATAAATACACCTTTTGATATTTATTTAAAATATAAATTATCTTATATGATTTTAAAAATTACATTATGTCCATTCAAGTTTATAATTGCATAATAATTGACCACTTTATTAATAAATCATTAAGTAATTAATAACTTTTAACGATCTAAAAAATATATTTTAATTAATAATTAATATAATTTTATTATTGTATAAGAGAATAATTAAATTAATTATTTATTAATTCTGTTAAATAAAAAATTATGACAAATTTTTTTTCTAATTTTTAAATTTGTAAGATAATTTGTATTTTAAGTAAATTTTAGGGTTACATTTGTAATTTATCCTAAATATTAATAATGTTTACATAAGAATTATTAAACTAATAGTAATTATAATTCAATTACATTATTATAAAATATAATTTGTAATCGTGTAAACTTGATTGGCCCAATCAAAATTCCGAATAATAACCAAAAAAAAAAAAAAAAAAAGCGCAGAAACGTTTGTGTAAAACCCTACGCTCACATAAGGGTTTTGAGAAGAGAACGAAGCAGAACTGAGGAACACAAGAATCAACAGGTACTCTCTCTCTCTCTCTCTCTCTCTCTCTCTCTCTCTCTCTCTCTACTTGGCTTGCCTTTGCTGGTGATTGATGATTTGAAAAATTTAGCCATTTACAATTGATCTCTAGTTTGGTTGCTGAGAAAATGAATGAATAGAAAAGACAATTTTTAGAACTTGAGATTTGAATTGCTAATGATTCACAGTCATGTGGTGAAATATATTAAATTATTTTGTGCTGAAAGTTGCTGAAAATTGGACGGTTACTGTGTTTGTAAAAGTTCGGAGTAGAGGTTATAAAATTACCTGCTTGATGAAAGTTCTATTAGGAATTTTGAGTTCTAATGTTGATAGACATTTTTTGTTTTTGGGGTTTGGTTTTTGTTTGTGTGTCACAGCTTGTTTACGTTTCATTTTTTTTTTGGTAATTGATTTATTTTATTAGACAAAGAATATGTACATTTAATGCAAAAATGGGGAAATTCTCCAACACAGACTCTCTTAGAAGTTCAATATCTATTATCTTCTCTAAAACAGAGGATTAGTCAAATTTCTTTGAAAAGTTTTTTAAAAAATTATCTCAAACTTCAAGCAAGAGTATCTACAGAATTTCAGTATATATGTATATATTGTGTTGGAATTCATAGATTCTACTTTATTTGTAAAACTATGGTGTATCAAATAGAGACTTTAGCGTAAAATTAGGGTTTGAATGGTTGGTGCGGTTGCCCTTTTTTTTTTTTTTTTTTTTTTCTTTCCTTCAATGGTTTATTATCATTTGTTACTTTAAGTTTTCATCGTCAAATGTTTTTTCTCTAACTATCACTGTTTTTTTTGCAGATTTCTCACCTTTTAAGCTTATAGGAGAGGAAGGAATCTAGGGAGTTAGGAAGAGATGCCTTCAAAATCAAAGAAACATTCTAAATCAGTAACCAAGCTCTCACATGTTGACCAGTCTGTGTCTCCTCAAAGTTCATCATGTTCAACACCACTTCCAGAATCAGAAGTTAGTGAAGAAGATGTCCTTTGCTCTCTTGATGAAGTTATGAGAAAATATCCTTCTCTGATAGGCAGATCTGCCTTGATTGGCCGCGTTACTGATGTCACAGAGGCCAAAGGTTGTAAGCTGTGGCTTTCAGAGTCTTCTATGGTTGCTTCCTCCCTTACTCCTGGTTCCACTGTATCGGTAATTGTGATTGCACATGTTTTCTACTTGACTGGAAATTGTTGTAGGATTTCATCTTAATGTCATGCTTGAATTTGTGTTCTGATGTAACTTTTTCACATTTGGGACATCCATTTTTTATTTGAGCTTGAATTGGAGTTTTGCACAAGGGTCATGTTGAAAGAAAGAATAGAACTTGGCTGAGCAATTATTCTACTTGACACATGTAGAATGGGATACTTTGGTTGAAATTGGGTTAGCTCTAAGTAATCTGCATCAGTCAATTTATTCAGCTGTTAAGTAAGTAGTGGCTTAGTTTGTTCTAATAATGCTCGTAGTTAATGACTTGTTTAGGGCCAGTTTGGTAACACTACGTTCTCAGTTTATATTTACAAAAATTTTATAAACTGGTTTCTGTTTATTTTTAGAAAAACATAAACTACAAACGCGTTTAGTTTGGACAAAATGTTTGAAAATTTTAAAAAATATAAACTAAAAGAGTGAGAAATGGCGGGTGGTGGCGGATGGTGGCAGCAGAAGACGGTGGTGGCGGATGGGTGGCGACGGAAGACGGTAGTGGTGGGTGGTGGTGACAGAAGACGATGATGGCGGGTGGCGGGTGATGGGTAATAGCGGCAGGTGGTGGGTGGTGGCGGCAGAAGACAGTGATGGATGGTGGTGGCGGAAGACAGTGGTGGAAAGTGGTAGCAGGTGGTGGTGGCGGAAGACAATGGTGGAAAGTGGTAGCAGGTGGTGGCAGCGGAAGACGGTGGTGGAAAGTGGTGGTAGATGGTGGCAGGTGGCGGGTGGTGGGTGGTGTTGGCGGAAGACGGTGGTGGAAAGTGGTGGCAGGTGGCGGGGTGGTGTGCCGGCAGCGAAAAGACGGCGTGGAAAGTGGTGCAGGTGGTGGCAGCTGGAAGAAGGTTGGTGGAAAGTAGTGGCGGGTTGTAGTGGCAGAAGATGCTGGTGGCGAGTGGTGGCGGCGGCGGAAGACGGTGGTGGAAAGTGGTGCAGATGCGGGGTGGTGGGCAGCGAAAGACATCGGTGAAAAGTGGTGGAGGACGGAAGATGGGTTGGGGTGGGGGAAAGTGGGGATGGCGGTGGTAGCGGCGGCAGACGGTGGTGGCGGCGCAGACGGTGGTGGAAATTGGTGGCAGGTGGCGGTGGTGCGGCTTAAGATGGTGGTGGAAAGTGGTGGCAGGTGGTGGCAGCGAAGATGTGGTGCGAAAGTGATGCGGGTGGTAGTGGCGGAAGATGGTGGTGGCTGGCGGAAGACGGTGCGTAGAATAGTGGATTGAAGGTGGCTGGCGAAAAGACGCTGGTGGAAAGTGGTGGCAGGTGGTGGGTAGTGGAAGAAGGTGGTGGAAAGTGGTGGCGAGTGGGTAGTGGTCGGCAAGATGCGTGGCGGTAGGTGGTGGTGAGTGGTGGCGGCGGAAGACGGTGGTGGGTGGTGGTGGCAGAAGACGGTGGTGGAGGGTGGTGGTGGGTGGTGGCGGCGGTGGAAGACGGTGGTGGAAAATGGTGGCAGGTAGGAAAAAAAAATAAAATTGAAAACGTAAACTTATTTTTTGAGTTTACAAATTTTGGCCAAATTTATAAACTGAGACCACTGGTTTATAAACCAAAATATTTACCAAACAAGTTTTTATGACAGTTTTTAAAATTTTTGTAAATATAAATTAAAAACTGAAAACGTAAGTGTTACCAAATGCCACCTTAGTGTTAGTAGTGCTAATATTGCCTAGCCATTAATGGTTACTTTTGACCTTAAAATTGTGCACCAACCAAAGCAAGTTAGATGGTAGATGGTGTAGACATTATTTGTTTCTTGTTATCTAATTTTATTTACTCCTACAAACCTATTTTTGCATGTGTGTCACTGGTTTTTTGTCTATATTTGGCATATGCCTGCCAACCATTGAGAGACAAAACAATCCAGAGGCACCTTAAACTATTCTTCATGATGTTTGCCTAAGTTAAGTGATCATTTCTTTTTTTTCACCCAAAGAGCTGAGACATCCTATAAAATTTGATACCCATGTAATTTGGCTGTTTGAGTGTGTGTACGATTTTTTCTTGGTCCTTACCTCAACTCTTGATTGGATTGACATTAGTGCATCTGTAATTCTGGACATGATTAGTAGCAGTTGACACTGCACTAGCAGGGTATGTAAAATGATTCGGAAGTTTTCTCAGTCCAAGCTAAATCATCTTTTAGGATCCGAGGGATTGACAATTCTCTAGAACAACTTTTTGATTGTAAGACAATGTTTCCCTATGTGTTTCTGGATCTCACTATTGAATTTTATTTCCCAATGCCATGTTACTGTCAACAATATTGACCATGGAAACATAGAAGACTAATTATCCATCCAATTTGTTTGTGGTCATGGTCCTTGCCTCAACTTCTTTTTTCAATTTGTTTCATGTCTTCCACCAAACATTTGCATAGATTAATATTCATGCAGGGGGAAACAAAGGACTAATTATGATTAATGAAGATAAATTACTCCTGGTCCCAGGACTTGTTTGACCCATAAATTAAGTTGCTCCTATGTGATCAGCTGCACAATTTTAACACTAAATTGGAGGATAAAGGAGGTCTTCTTCCAAGAAACCCTAAACAAAAATTTAGTTGGATATACCAACAATTTAGCATAGAAAATGGGTGAGTTTCAGGGGAACCACATTGTGCAAATAATGTTTGAGGGTAGAACTGTACCTTGTCTATCCCTCCCAACACCCTACAATGGTTGGACCAATTTTATGCTTGAATATTTTGTGATTTCTTTCATGTTGTGTTCTATGGCTTTTATGGGTTTAACTTTATTGTCGCCTAGTAACATTGGCTTATTTTACTTTTCCATCCTTCTTTGAGATGCTACTCTCTATTCTATTTCAACCATTTGCAGAGTTGTTTTTCAGGTTTTATTCTATTGCATAAATTTTATGTTGGATTTTTGTCATTGATAATGATAAAGTTAATTCATTAACAGGTGTCTCTTGCTTCATCAAGGAAATTTTCAAGTAGCTTCCCTCTTAGCTCATTAGCTGACGAATGTGCAAAACATTTTGGGGTTGGTTGCAATGATAAAATGGTTAATGATGTGGGGAACTACTTTGCTCTAGCAACTGTTTTTCCTTCTTGTAAGGTTTGGATGATAATTATTCTTATATCTTACCTTTGTTTCTGTGATTCAGAGCCACATGCTCATTTAAAAACTAAAAAACACAAAAGTTCATGCATGGATGAAGCAACTGATAACTCAAGAAAATCTGGTATTTAGTATCTTTTATTTTAAACATCCTCCTTCCGAGGCTATATGGATTTTTCTTATTAAAAGACTATCCTTTTGGAAAGGTTTAATATGTGTTAGATTAAGGTAATGATTTAATTACTTGATCACCTTGATTGATGTACTGTTCAGTTTGTGTTGGCGCGTTTCGTTGAGATTTGTATATTGTTGCTAAAAGTCTGAAGCCAGAAACTCTGGGTTTGGAAAGCTGAGGTAATCTGGTTGATGATGTAAAGTGAACAAAATGCAGGTTTGTGGAAATTAAACGTGTTCTTAAGAGACGAACATTTGGAGGGGCTTCTGTAATTGTTCATTGTGGTGGGCTTGATATCAATTTTTTGATGCGTTATAAACAAGTGAGATAACTCTTTAAGTCCTTGTGTATCTATATTGGCCCCGTTTGGTAGAGCTGTGAAAAAGTGATTATAGCTTATAACTTAACAGCTTATAGCTTATAATTGTGAACATAAGCTGATTTTTTACTTATAAATTAAGCATCTCCCCCCTCCCCCACTCAAAGAATAAGTTGATTTTTGACTTACAAAAAGTTATAAGCTCTATTGTTAAGTTGAACCAAACACATCAAAATAGCTTAAATTAAGCTAAAAACTGAAATAAGCTGGAAATAAGCCCTACCAAATAGGGTCATTATGTAAATTAAAATAGAGATTTGAGTGCTTTTCATTCTCTCTATCATAGTAGGGTCAGTTTGAAGATAGTTTTTCCTGCTTCTTTGCGGAAGTAGTTGGAATTAGTGGGCTTGGTCCATCCCAAACCTGCCTTGTTATGTGTCCCTATTTGAGCTTAGAAACTTGTCCTTTTGTTTGATTAAAAAGAGCTCTGGCATGGAACTGATGTTGCCAATTTTGCGAGGAATGGGATATATTTGAGGGACATTTAAAAGCTTTGAATATGGTTGTGATATTGTTCAGAGTGCTGCATCTATGCATCCTCATATCCGGTTAGCATTTTGAAAAAAAAAAATGCCCAGTTCAGTCCCCGTTGGATGGGTCTCTCTCTCTCTCTTTCTTTTTGTCTGTGTATATATATATATATTACATAGGTATATATGTTGTCAAAGCTAGTTTGCATGAAGGTATGATGCATGGCATTAGCAAGTTCCAGAGAGGTAATTGTGTGTTAGTCTTCCAAAGTCCTTTTTCTTCTCTCCTATGCTGTTGTTGAATGAGGATGCGTTTAGCACATATACATATTTGGTTTGATGGAGTTCCTGTAGTTTCTTTATGTTAAAACTATTTGTATTTAGTTGATAACTTTTGTGTAGCCTAGTTGTCTTATGTTAGAAGTAATAATTATGATTAAAATATTGAATCTGATATTCATCATGGGAGTTTCTCAGGTCAATTGGAATTTAGATCAAAAGGGCATATATTTCTTATTTATTTATTTATTGTTTAATTTAATTTTTATTATTTTTTTCCAGGTTTTGAAGAATGGAGTGCGATTGTCTTCAAACCTCTCATGTACATTGGGTTGCCCTGCTTCAGGAAGGATTGTGCTTGTTTATCCCATTCAAATTCAATCTGCAATGGTTGTTAATGGAAATGACAAGTGGCATAGCACCTCAGTGAATTGTCTATCTGTATCCAACTGCAAGGAATTATATTTAGAGTTGGTTTCCTCTAATAGTGGATTTGCAAAGAATGGTAATGTGCTGTCTGGCATAAATGTTTCTAGAGAAAGAACCCATTCCAGAGAAAGAACCCAAGGTCAATTTGGAAATGGAAATATTTCATCACCTATGACACCATTGTACTCTCAGTCAAAACTTAGCTCTCCTATGATTGGTCTGTTGAGTTCACCAACATATGAAGAGTCAATATCAAGTTCACCCAATTCATATGAGACAGCCTTCAATTCATTTGATATAACAGAAGTATTAGGAGATGAAAGTGCAAAAAACCTTCTCCAGTCTTGCGCTACATCATGGCTATGTTCTCGTAGTTTGCTATGTGGAAATTTTGTGTCCATTCCAACACTTTTGAAGATTTGCATTTTTCAGGTCATAGGTGCTGGTGGAATGCCAGTAAGTTCCAATCAGGATTTGACAGATAAATTCAATCAGGATTTGTTCTCTCATCCTGCCGATATGATGGACCATGTGGATGTTGCTTTTTTAGTAAGCCATAAAACAAAAGTACATTTATTTTCACCCATAAATTCTGCATTGGAAACTTCACAGAAAAGAGGTTTACCACGTCTAGAACTTGAACATGAGAGTATCGAAGCTGATGGAGGAGATCATTTTATAAAATTGGGTGGATTGTCAAATGAATATGCTGTTTTGAGGGATATAATTTCCTCATCGGTCAAGGACACTTTGTCAAGGTATGTTATGTAACATTTTTGGTAATTTGTCTTTATATGCCATGTTTATTTTTATTTTGTCAATCCCATAACAAGTCAAATTCTACTGATTAATAACCAAATTTTATCATTTCTTATTTATGTTTGTTTAAGTAAATATTTTAATCATATCAAAAAATTATTTTTTCAGTCATTTTTCTTTTCTTCTGTTTTTGGGTGTTTGAAACGTGGGAGATAGAGATCCATAGGTTAATTTTGAACTATATCAGCCACTTCCCTGCACTAGATAATCTTTTAGCCATCAATTTAGTTTTATATATGGTTTACTTCAGAGATGTATTTTCTTACTCAGCCTTGTATGTTGATTGTTGATGTAACTGTTTTAGTTTGGGTTTACGGCCTACAAAAGGAGTGCTTCTTCATGGCCCACCTGGCACGGGAAAGACTTCTTTGACTAAAAAATGTGTGTGTGATACTGGTGTCAACCTTTTCACTGTGAATGGACCTGAAATTGTTGGTCAATATCATGGAGAAAGTGAGCAAGCATTGCATGAGGTCTTTGATTCAGCTAGCCGTGCTACACCTGCAGTGGTTAGATTTCTGTTAAAAAGAAAGCTTAATTGTCCAATTTTGAGTACCTTTTTAATTCTCTGTTTTTTGTGTATTAATTATGCATTTTTTAAATATATTCATTCTGTGATATACAACTGATCCATACAGTGGGGCAAAATGTGATGATTTTCTTCTAGTTTTTGGTTTTCTTGTATGCATAATATGTTCCATGGAGAAGTTTGACTGCAGTGAATACTAAGCAGAGATTATAAGGACATGGCATATTACTTTCAATGGAAAAAAATATGGTCTTAAGTGGATATGTTCTGTGGTGATTATGTAGTCGAGGAAGATCTGAGAAAATACAACTTTTTGTCGTACGTACTTTATTGATTAATTCAATATTTCAGTTAAATGAATAACTGAATGAAACTTCACATAAGAAAGAAACTATAAAATGCTAAAGATAGTGTTTTTGAGTAGTATATGTGCATTAGTTTTTATGCAAGTCTGTTTTGCACCATTCAAACAATTTTCATGCCAAACTGAACGGATAAGGTAGTTGATGTGAGTGTATATATATATATTATATTAACGTTCTCCATGGATATATCTTGTCTGCAGGACCTCTAATAACCCACTTTACTTCTTTCTTTTCTTATTTACACCCTATTACAAGTAGTGCAAGGAAGAGGTCTTATACAAGATGTGACAAAATATGGCTTGAGCCCCCTATGATGCAGGCTCATGATGTCTACATCTGCTAATGAAGTTGGGTTTTGGGTTAGTTAGCTGGTATTAAAATAATATGCGTGACAGATGTACAATAGAATCATTTTGCTATTAAGGAAATTCATTGTTACATAAATAGAGAGAGAATAAGGAAGACTTGCATATAGAATATAAAACTCAAGGCATCAAATAGATATATGAATGCGATTAAGGACATGTTTCATGGATTTGTAACTAGTCTAAGAATAGTTGGAGGATACACAAGTGAATTTTCATTAGAAGTAGGCTTACATCAAGGATATTCATGAAGCCCTTAAGGCAAGTTTTTCTTCTTATCTTTGGTTGGATTTATTTTCAGATTTACTTTTTGGAGCCATGTTACAAGCAAATGTTGATTTATTAGTTAAAATCTATGAAGCATGGATACTCCGAAATAGCCCCCGTACGCGTATCGGATACGTATCGGATACGGATACGCGCTTGATACGGCGGAATACGTATCAGATACGGGAAAAGGAGTATCCAATTTTTTTTTTAAAAATTTTTGAATTTCAGATACGTCTAGGATACGCGAGGATACGGTTGGGATACGGCGGGGCAAAAAAATAATTTAAAAAACTTAAAATGGGGTCAAAGTATAAAATATGTAAACAAGATAAGATAAAACACAAAAAAAAAAAAATACTACCTCCACTATCTTTCTCTGTCTCTGTCTCCAACACACCAAGCTACTGTATCAGAATATTCAAATCCAATGGCTTTGCCGAACCAACAGACTGTTGATTACCCGAGCTTCAAGCTTGTCATTGTTGGTGATGGAGGAACTGGGAAAACAACTTTTGTGAAGAGGCATCTCACTGGTGAATTTGAGAAGAAGTACGAACCAACCATTGGTGTCGAAGTTCACCCTTTGGACTTCTTCACAAACTGTGGGAAACTCCGATTTTATTGCTGGGATACTGCTGGGCAAGAGAAATTCGGTGGTCTTAGAGATGGTTACTACATTCATGGGCAATGTGCAGTCATCATGTTTGATGTTACTGCTCGATTGACATACAAGAATGTTCCCACCTGGCACCGAGATTTGTGCAGGGTCTGTGAGAATATACCCATTGTTCTTTATGGAAACAAGGTTGATGTGAAGAACAGGCAGGTCAAGGCAAAGCAGGTTACATTCCACAGGAAGAAGAATTTGCAGTACTATGAAATCTCTGCTAAGAGTAACTATAACTTTGAAAAACCTTTCTTGTACCTTGCCAGGAAGCTTGCAGGGGACCCCAATCTTCATTTTGTGGAGTCTCCCGCACTTGCTCCTCCTGAAGTGCAGATTGACTTGTTGCACCCTCCAAGCCATGGCGACGCAGACAGATCTCTGCAAACAGACCTCCCTCCGCCATATTGATTGACCATGGTTCACATACAGATAACAATTAATTGCAAGCCAAAGTATATCTATCTATATCCTTCTATTTTCTGTGAGGATCGATAGGTGGATAGAGCCAGACAGATCTCTGCCAAAGCAACCTCTTTCTATCTCTATGGCTATGCTGCAAAAGGGTCCTAAGTCTCTCCCTCTCTCAGCTCTCTCTGGTCCCTTCTCTGCACATGGTCCCTTTTTTTAATCATCCCAACCATCACGGGGCTTGAAAACAGCACCACCAGCACTAGCAATAGCACACCATCCCTTTCTTTTCTTTTCTTTATTCTCCACTCACAAAACATTATCATCACCTTTTGCACTTCACCCGTTGCTCCACTTTCTTTCTTTTCTTTTATTTTCTTTATTTATTTATTTATTTTCTTATAAAATTTAAAAAAAAAAAAAAAAAAAAACAACAACAACACAACACACGGAGGAAGAAACAGAACTGCAAACTCATTTATTCATATCGGGCCCTCACCCCGATCATCATATTTACACAACATAAAAAATAAAATAAAATAAAATAAATAAAATACAAACAAAACAACCACACCTACAGTGGGATTTTTCTTTCCTTCTCTATTCTACTGCAGGTCTCTTCTTCTTACCTTTATTCTGGGTGTCCCGTGCCAGTCCGGTCTCCGTGTTTCCTTGTCCACTGAGCACGTTCACTCCCCCATACTCCTCCACTGCAGCATATGAAGGACCTCCAAATCGGAACATCACGGTGGCCTCTCGCTTCAGCTCCTTATTTTCTGCCCTTAGCACGCTTATCTCTGCTCGCGCATCCTTATACATGCGTTGGAGCAGAGCCAGCTGGGAATTTAAATGCTGCACCTCATTTGCCTACTCTGCAGCCGGTTCGACAAATTGTGACGCCGTCATGCGTATGGTTTCCACGCATGACTTCAGAGTATACTGATTAGCCTCATATCAGTTTGGCATCGCCATTTTTTGCAATCGCGACATATAATAGGGTCCTGACTCCACCTTGACAGATGGAGACGGCTAGTGCATGCTGGCGGTAGAAGTTTCTAATATGGAGCAAAACCAAGAGGTGTTGGTTGCGGATGTTCAGCGAAAGTGAGTGGCCACAGGTCGGCAGATGGTCCAGTTGAGTGATTCTTCGACGTGTGGCTGTTGCAGTCTACTGAAAGCTATTAGACTGAGCAGTAAGTATAGGGATTAAACTGGGAAAGAAATGTTATGGGGAGAGAAGGAGCTCGTGACCATTTAAGTATTTTTCAATTTGCGGTATGCCTTATAGCCTGTTTAAAGTTCTAACAGGCGAGAGAAATAATGAATTCAAAGCAAGACTGAGTAATATGAGTCGTTTTGGTTGTTTTTTTTCATAGTAACATTTTTAAACAGTAACCTTAAACGGTTAGGATAATGATCAAGGTTTTATATGCGTGCTCTAACACAAAGTGTTTCATCTACAACACCAAGTCAAAGCTACTTTAATTTGTCTGCTCTTTTTTCGACTATGTATAGGAAAGTGTTCTAAATTTCAAATATCTGTGAGAGTTGCAAAGGAGACCTTGACCTTACACAGGGTATTTTCACAGAAGATAGGACTATGCACCTCAAGCCTCAGTCGCTAATTACGCCTTAATCAGGTATTCCTTTATGGTTAAGGTCATTTTATTTTTCGTGAAGCCGCATTTTGGTATATATTTCTAAAATATTCACACAGTTATGAATTTTAAGGTTTTTATATTTTTAAAATATTATACAGTTGAATGGATAAAAAATTACAATTAAAATTCAACACAAAAATGTTAAATTAAAAGTATATAAATCTTAAACAAAGTGTTTGAAATAAAAAATATCACAAGAGTGTTGGAAGTAATAAACACTTAATTCCAACCTTCGTAAGAGCATATTATGGTTAATTCTTTGGAGTTTTTTTTTAAGCATGGTATTAAGGATTTTTATATTATAAAGGACACTCAATATTTTCGAATAATGTCTAAGAAATTTTTCAACATCGATCCAGAGAAAATTTGATCCAGTAAAAATTCGTTCTGACAAATCACAGGATAATCCAAACCAAAGAAAATTTCAATCTAGAGAATTGAACATTTTCAATCCAAAAAAATTGAATCAACTAAGAAGAAAAGTTCAATCCAGAGAAATTGACAATCAGAGAAAATTCAATCTAGGAGGGGAAGGAATTGGTGAGGAGGGGGGGCAACGGCAGATCGAAAATTCGAATCCAAAGAGAAATTCGACTTCACATAGAAAACTCACTAGAGAAATTCAGAATTTCTCTGGACACTTCAACCCAGAGAAATTCTCCGCCCTCCACCCTAGAGAATTCACGCGAAACCCAGAGAAACCCCCTTCCCACCCAACTCTTTTTTCAGAAAATCACCCCTCATATCTACCAGATAAAGATCTCTCTAAATCTAGAGAATTACCCCCTCACAATCTTTTCTGGTTGAATCTAACTCCGGCAAAATGTGTTCCATGGTTCATAAAAACGAGAGAGCACAATACAGAGTTTTTCTTTCTTTTCTCGATTCCTCCAAACAGACTCTAATTGCTAGCAGCCTATATATGGAATATAAGAAAGAAACCCTAGATTTCAACGAAAGCTGCTAGTTTTCAAGTTTCTGAGATATTAAATAAACACAAATTCAGTCATCAAAAGAAAGCAAACTATACAGCCAAGCTAGAACGAACGGAATAAACAAGCACAATACTAAACAGAGAAATAGTAATGTTCGAATTGGGGATCACATCATTCTTTGAGGTTTTCTCCTCGAAACTGCTTCGAAACATGGTCAAGAGACTTCAAAGACCTTAGAGACCTAAAATACCTCTCAAGTTGACTTGCCCTCTCGAATTTGCCGTAGATGGAGCGAAAGAACTTGATAACCTGTGAAGGAAAGACTCTTCGAGATGCCAATAGCAGTGGATAGTTCCGTTGTTGATGGTGATGGTTGGAGCTGCGAGAGGAGAGAGAAGCGAGGCGCCATAGCGACTTCTCTTTCTAGAATCGAAAGATTACTCGCTCACTCATTTAAAGCCAGAAAAATGAGAAAAGGCATAGTGGATGGTTGATTGGAAAAGAGAGAGAGAGAGAGAGAGAGAGAGAGAGTCAAATTTCTCTGATCTGATCAGTGGGTGTGGGTTCAGGGACCGTTAGACATGCAAAAAATAATATTGTGGATCTCTTCCATTACTAAAAATGGCAGATGGGAA